GGAGGGGTTTAAACCCCCACCCTGACCTGCAGGGACCCCAGCCACGGTGTGCCTGGAGGGGGAAGGGGAAATCAACCCTTGCCAGGCTTGTGCCCAGTGGGGGAAGGGCATGCCCAGACACCAGCCAAGGCAGTGCCTCAGATGAGGAGGGGGCAGGGGGCATGGCCAGAGCTGTCTGGCATGGTTCCACCATCTGCCCGCTTCCCGCAGAGCTGGGGCTGGGGCTGGGGCTGGGGCTGAGCCAGGCCGGCCCATGGGCACTGCTGAGGGCAGGAGTGCAGGGGCTGGACCAGGCTGGGCCATGGGGGCAGGACCCTTCCCTGCCAGCTACAGCTCAGGTTGGGGCCTCAGGAGCTGCTCCCAGCTCCCCACATCCAGGCTGGGCCAGGCTGCTGTGGAGCTGCAGCTGCCTGGGAAGGGCCCAGCCCCCACAGCCTGACCTGGGCTGGCCCCACTATCTGCCTGTCTCCCTCGGGGCTGAGCGGGGCCAGCTGTGGGTGCTGCTAAGGTGGCCATGGAGGGACTGGCCTGAGCCAGGCTGTGGGGGCACAGCCCTCCCCAGCCAGCTGCGGCTCTGTGACAACTCGGCCCAGCCTGAGCATGAGGAGCCAGGAGCAATCTGAGCATGCAGCTCCCATGGCCCCAGCCCAAGCCATAGCTGGCAGGAAAGGGCCCTGCCCCCGTGGCTCCGTCCGGGCCGACCCCTCCATGTCCGCCCTCAGCAGCACCCGTGGGCCAGTCTTGCTCAGCCCCACAGCCCTAGCCCCAGGTGAGGCAAGCAGAAGGCAGGGCTATGCCAGCCGGCTCTGGCCACACCCTCTGTCCCTGCCCCTGGAGCAGCAGGTAGGAGACCATGACAGGGGCTGCTCTGGCCCGGCCAGGCAGACCCCCAGCTAAGGGCTCCCAGGAGGAGAGGGTGAATAAACCCCCTCCCTGCCCCTTTGCCGTAGGGGGCCATGTTGGCTGGCGTCTGGGTGGGGCCAGCCCAACCTAGGGCTGCAGAGCATGCTGGGATGCTAGGGGACTCTGATTTAACTTGAACCAGGAAGGGGTCTGGGACAGAAGTTCCATAAACTGGTTTGACCTAAATCAGTTCAGTCTGATACTACATTCAACCAGGTTGATCTTAAACCAGTTTCAGCCGTTTTAAACTGGTTTACGTGCACCATACTTGTTCTGTTACAGGTTTAAATCAGTTTCTGATCACTTAAACTAATTATGTGTTACTTCTGTCCAAGAGGTAGGAATGGTGGGCCTGCTCCAGCTTTTGGAGGGACCAGGACGAAGCCTGGAATGAGGAGAGTACGCATTTCTCCTGACTACCTTTCAAAGCTCACATGCCTTTGCCTGCATTGTGGAATTCAGGATGCAGTGCATGCAAACATACATTTTAGATCCAACAATAGTTTGATGTGGATGGATGGAGTAGATTCTTTGACATCCATTCATTTAGTGAGAAACTCTGACATTTCTTCTCCTCCATCGTATCCGAAGGATTCTGTTACAGTCCTGAGGAGAGATATACCCACATCTGGTCACACTGCTTTCTGCCCAGTACAGTGATCTCTTAGACCCTTCCCAAGCCAAAGTAAATAGGCTTTGTGTGGTTTTACAGGGTTGTAATGTTTGATGCAAGGTCCGCCCCATCTGCACAGCCAAGCCACAGAATTTCTAGTTCAGTACAAGACCATGATCCCAGAATGTTCCTCTCCCTTGCTAATTGTCTGGGGTACAGGAAAAGATGCTCTTCATTTCTTTAGGTATGTATCACCTATTGTTCAGCATTAACAAAAATATCTTCTTTGTTGCCACAGGGCCAAAGCTCAGATCACACACGGCACTCCTTCATTAAGGGAAATAACTGGCAAACAATTCTTCATGACTTGCCAGGTCACCTTTGGAACAAAAATAGGGCATTCATTTTAAAGGCGTCAACCCTACATTAGTGAAAATCCACACTTCCCCTTCCTCAGCTGTTCTTGGACTACATTCCCACCAAATAAATATTTTAAAACCCTAAATTGGGAGGTGAGGAAGGAAGGCCAGTTGACTAGAAGCAAAAGGAAAAGGAGCTTACAAACTTGTCCTGAAAACTGTCCTGTTTGCTTTCCCCTGTTCACCCCCTCATGGTCTTATGACACCGTGCTGCAGCCAGCCACCTGTCGTGGGTAGTCATTCTCATACAGACGGCCTGCACGGGTCTTCTTTCACCGATGCATGCAAATTGCAAGTCCCCTCTACCCAGAGTTCTGAATTGCTCGCACAACTGCTCTCGTGTTTAAGTCAAGGATCTCCAAGCACTTGCCAATTATCAACCGTTCCTGCCTCACGACACTCCCCAGTGTGCTGTGTATCTATGGATTGTAAACACCGAGTTTACAGCTAGATGATTTGGCTTCTGGGATGTTTTAAGGGCTCAAACCTGCTCCCATTGAAGACAATGGAAAAAATTCCCCTTAAGCCCCTTTGCTTTGATAAGCAAACAATTAGTTTCCAAAGGCCTAATTTACCACCCGCTGAAGTTAATAGAAAAACTGAGCTTTGGATCAGGCCCAAAGCGATTTGCTAAAACCACACAGTGAGTCACAGCTTAGAGAATCAACCCAAATGCTCAGATTTGTATCCCATGCTCTAACCACTAGATTACAGTCCCACATATACCCTGCAATAATCTTCACTGAAATGACAGCAGCATTTCTCTGATGAGCATGTTAGGCATTACTAAGTAATGGGTAACATATGTCCATTATACCATCTTTCTTAAGGTAGAAGAGGGAATGGGAATAAAAGTGCTATCACTGGGGCTTGAGCCTCTCCATTTATTCCTTGCCGGGGAAAACAATATTCTCCTTAATCCCAGGTTTAAAATGTTGCTGAAATACACATTTTATTTGGATCCACATTTACTTTTAATGTCATCCCAGCTGTATTGTAGGCACACTGAAGTGGCTGTGAGGCTGAACTACTAACATGTGTTTCTTCCTCACCAGGCTCAGAGTAACACATTTGTTACTGATTATTGCACTAAGATCCTGATTCTGCAGGACATTTCCAGCAGAGGCTGAGAACATTCAGTCCTTCACAGGATAAGGAGCTAATTAATTATTTTCTACTGTTTTTGGAACATGAAGGTATGGGTGGGATATTAACCTCATATCCCGTCTGTAGTTTCTGTCCAAGTATATGTTAAAGGACACATAGCACTCTGAAATAAAGCAAAGGATAGCTCTAGTGTTTTGGCCAATATTCCTTCCCCTCCTCCTGGCATGTGTTCTGGGGACAAAAGCTGTGCATTGAATATTGCTGAGAACGTAGCAGCTCCTGCCTTAGCCTGCATGCTTCTGGAACCGTGAGTATCCAACTCCGTGCTTACAGGCGCTCTTGTGAAACCAAATTCCATTTTATTTTGTATCTCCGACAGCAGACATGAAGTCCTAACTGATGCAATACTCTGCAAACCATTCATGCCCATGTGTTCACAAATAAAACCACATGGGCGCATCTACACGTGTGCTGTTATGTGCCTTAGCCTATTTTAATGTGCATTAAAGCATCACACAAAGCAGTGCTCTTTAGCTAATGTGTATTAAAATAGGCTTTTGCACATTTTCCCAGTACCTCACAATGGAGGTGCTAGATTTAATAGGCATTATCTAAAGCACATTAATTGAATGTGTAGATGCACTGACAGGCAGGTCAATTATTCTCAAATCCCCCAGAGGACAGTGATTGTTCTAATGTCATTGGCAATTGCTGTGTCTGGTCACTTGAATTCTCTGCATTTCAGTGGGAAATTCAGGGTGGCAAACTAGCGTCCATCTCACCTAGGCTAGCAGAGCTGCCCTGCCAAATGGAGAATCACCCAGGAGGAAAAGAAAACCACACATTGGGTGGGGTGGGGGGAACGACATCCAAAAAATTCTTTTCGTTTCCAAATGGCTGGCACGTTAACGCCACACGGGACTCTTGAATTTTAGACCTGCCAATTTGCAGAACTGTCTAGAGCTGGGAGCCTGCTTAGTTGAGGGGGGAGGAGGGTGGTTTTATTCTTATCCCCTGACTTCCCCCTGCTTTGGGAGGCTGCACTAGCAAGGCTTTCCCAGCTCTTGGTATTTTAAGGTCAGGAGAGTTTCAATCTACCAATGTGCAGAGCCGGAGCTAGGGTTAGGGGCCACTTAGTGATGGGGGGCGATTTTATTCATCTTTGCCCCGACTTCGGGGGCTGCTCCGAGTTTCACCAGTTGAAACCCAGCGGATCCGAGGTGGGGGAGGAGGCTCTGCCTGCCGGGCTCCGTTATTACACAACCGGGGCTGCCCAGGAGCCTCCCAGCCCCCTCCAGCACTTCCGTCCCCTTCCTCCATGCAAACCTCCCCACTTCCCTTTTCCCCTTCCCGCCCCGCTTCCAGCCTCGGCCCTTCCACCCGCTTCCCTCGTGCCCCGGTGCACATTTCTTCGCGGGCTCGTCGGTGCTGCTCCCCCGCCCGGGGGCCGGGGGGGAGGGGCGGCCGGGCTGCGGCTCGGCTCCGCGGCACCTGCGCAGGGCGCGGGG